AAAATGAAAGACACTCTTTAAATCCAATGTAGGATTCCTCACTTAAACCCGTGAAAATATATGGCTTGGACTTTAAAAATGCTGAGAGCAGATAATTTCAGAATATGTTTCCAGAATCAATGGAAGAACTGTTTGGTTTTTCCCCAAGTCATAGGTAATACCACTTAGTCTTCAGATCAGTTCTGCTGCTGCTGAGAAGCTGTTCAGGAGTCAAGTATGCTAAAGTACTTTGAAGTACCAGAAATAAATAGTTAAATGTTGTAGTTGTTAATCACCAATCGTTCCATAGAATGTCAGAGGTAGTGTAAGCTTGTGGGAATTGCTTGTGTGCAATTTGTAAAATTGCATGCTTGCAGTCCTGCGTTGTAGTTTTGGGTGGGTTTTTTTTAGATATACTCAGGCAAAATAGATCTCTAAAGCCATAATTTCAGAAATAAGCTTGGCTAGAGCTACTGTGAAAAGAAGCAGAAGCAGCTGCTTGTTCCTTCACTAGTCCTAGCCCAAGGTCACAGTGCATGTATTCTCCAGCTTGGGGAGCTATTTAGATTACATTTTGGTTTTGTTGTGTGTTTGTTTAAGAAAGGAAAAAAAAAAGCTAAACCCTATTCACTGATGCAGTTTACTGTGTGGCCATAGAAATGCTTGCCAAAAAGAGTATAGGGAAGGAAAGAGGCTGCTGCTTAGCAATAATGCCAGCCCATTTTTTTGAGACTTGAGAAATCTGTCTGGGTTTTGGTGTTATGCCAAAACTGCATTTTGTCCAGTAAACAGAACACCTTATAAATGCTTCGGGCAGCTGTGTGAATCACAGCTGATCTAGTTACTGAAGAAATTTCTAGTAGTGATGCCACAAAATGAGTAACTTAGAGTGAGAGGCACACCAGAAACACTGTAACAGAATAGGTTAACCTTTTTTTCTTTCCCTAGTATTTATTTTCTTCCTCTTCAGTATTGCCTTACATAATCTGCTACTCTGGCATGAAACTTGAAGGGATTAAAAAAATACTATTTTTTGCTTAAGTTTTTCTTTCCTGCCACTGTGTAACTTGTGTCTGTGATTACTAATTGCTGTTAGTAGACTTGCATATCAAAGGCTGTGTAGATGCACACACCATTGTAATATTGATTTAGAGTGGCTTTTGGATTACTGTGGAATCTATTATGCTGAAGTAATAGCCTGGCTGTACAATGCATATATAGTTGCTTTTAATTTTCGTTTTTCCTTGCTATTTCCCTCTGCTTTAAGCTCTTTGCAGCAAAGGCTTGTTGTGGCAGAATACTGCACGTGGGACTCTGTATTACAACAGGAAATGCAGTCCCTACCAAGACTTTTTATGTAAATCAAAGCTTGTTTACAGCATCTGCGTCTTAGATTAAAGAGAATTAATTTACATCTAATGTTGAGATGCTGTTTCTGCTCTGAGTAAATGACAGCCACTAAATTGGTAAAACCAATGCTGTTAAGTCTCTCTGATTTGACAATGCATGCAGCATTGCATGGTGATAAGAATGGTTGGCTATAGTAACTTGTAAATGAGTCTGAAAAACATCACTTACACTCTTGATCTTATCGTTGTAACATCTTCTTAAATGTTCTTTGAGTTTTGGCCTTTGAGAATCCCAATTATGTCAGATGCTCTTGTTTACAATCCATACAGTGCTCAGCTGAGTCAAGGAAACTTGACCAAAATTCTAGTTGTAGTGTAAGCTGGTGAAATATGTGCTTAGTCTTGCTTCTGTGCTTGTACCTCAGCTGTAGTACAGCTGTTTCAGATGACTAGTACTTGGCAAACCTTTGAGTGCCTTTGTGAATCCAGCAGAGTGCTGAGGCATAGAGGGTCACACAGTGAACAGTATGTAGTACCCTTACTGATGATCAGGGGATTGTGGAAGAAAAATGATTTTAACTGTATTATTGATGATTATTCCTCCTGAAACTCCAGGTTTCGTACTTGTAACTGAGTGTACGTGTTTGCTGTGTGGAGCTGCTGACTGTGCAGATGTAGGGGTGAAGGGTGTGATTGCAAGGGGCCTCTGGCCTGGATTTGTACTCTTCCCAAGGGCTGGAAGTAATTGCAATCATTAGGTGCGTGTTGTCTCCCGAGAGTGACATACTTACCATTGTAGAAACTACTTACCTGTAGAATCTGAAGTCTGGTAGTAAGTTACTGCCCTGTTTGTTGGTTTGTCTGTTAGGAGCTTGTAACATTTAAGGCTCTACTGTAAAAAGTAAAGGACAAGCATCAAGACACTGGATGCACTGACTGTGGCAGTTAACTGTGAAGTTGGGAGCTGCATGTTCACTGTCTTCCAGTACAAATATCCAGCAGCACTTAAAGCATGGATCCTATAAAGCAATTGTTCCAAGCTTAAACCTGTGAGTTTCAGAGGGAGCTGAAGTCTGATGTTCTAAGAAATATTGATTGGATCAAAGTTATTTTAAGTATTATGAGTGCCCTCCTTGATCTGCTGCCTCAGTGTTGGACGCTCTGCTTGCCCTGATACTACTTTGGGTTACATTAATGTTGTGTATAGCGGGCTTTCCTGGGGTTGAGTTCCAAAACTAGAGTGGATGTAAAAAGTGTACAGTTATGTCACTTCTTGGTTTTAATTTTATGAAATGGCTTAATTCTCATTTTGCAGAATATCATGAAAGTAGTTAAATAGAGGATAATTTCATTGTTTACCGAACAGGTTAAAAGAATGCAGAGTTTGTAGTGGAAAAATAAGACAGACATGCTAGTTGTGCTGCATGCTTCTTTGGCATGACCTTGATGCTAGAAACCGTGGGTTTAAAATATAACAATTCCATCAATGCAGTGATGTCCAATCTGATAGCTCTCACCTGAAAAAGCAGTCTTGATTTCTGATATATGGCAGTTCATTGTGCCAGTCAAAATGAGTTTCTGGTCTATGAAAGGGCTCATTATAAGCTACCAGAGTGGAAGTGTTTGAAAAGGTAGAGATTGGAGCATTTTGCTGTCTCACAAATTGGATAGTCAAGTCCTCTGCAAAGCTGTCAAGCCTGTGAGATTTTTATTTTTTTGCTAATAATCCCCATGGGGCTGAAGATGTATCTGTAAGTGCTTCACTTAGATGTTTGAGATGCAATGAAATGGAAGCCTGTAGGCATTTATTGTTTTCTAGTCACCTTGGTTGTGTCTGATGTCTGCCTTTGTATTCTTCTAATATGTAAGCCAACATCCTAATGCATCATAAGTTACAATTAAAGGTACTTAAAATCTGTTTACTTTCTCAAGTATAGTTGAAATCTTAATTAGTGAAAGGAATGTGACTTAATCACCTTGTACTGATTCTGAGTTTCACTGAAGTCCTCTATGCTGCAGCCTTGTTCTTGTGGGATCCTAATGAGCAACATATGTCCGGTGTATCCCCTCTGTAGATAGACTAACCCTGCTGTTATTTTGGCATTCAAACTGGCTGTCCCATTATCTACTGCCACATCTTCTCTTCACTGCTTGAGAAAACCAATCTTTATTTTTGCCTTTGCACATGTTCCTTTGGCTGCTTCCTAACTTCAGTTTAATGAGTGTGTCTGGTGTTTATTAAGTATAAAAAAAATCGTAGCCATGTTTTGGAATGGTCAGATGTGCAGTTATACTGGGGGAAATACGCACTGATAACCAGAGCAGAGCTTTTTGAGCGTAATGCTTTGGACTAGGTGACCTAGAGCAAACTGTTTCCCCTCATACCCTTTTTTCCCCTTTACACAATGTAGATAATACTGATCACCTCTGTAAAGTATGATTTCTAGGAGCTAAGCAGAAATAAAAGGAAACAGGAGCCTATATTTAAAAAAAAAAAACAAAACCAAAAAACAAACAAAAAAACACCAAACAAAACAACAAACAAGGTTAATCCTCTCTTTTTGGAGGGGGGAAGCAGGCAAGTCAGGAAGTAATTTTGTGTGAAGAACTTGTTTTTGCTATTCTGTTTGCAGATCTATCTTATTAGAGTTCCTGAAGTTGCAGATAAAATTTTTACTAAGTAATGGCTTGTGTTTGAGTTAGAAGACGTGGATTTGGACTGCTGAAGTTTCGTACTACCTTCTTGTATAGGTACTACCCTGGTGTAATGCTGAATGTTGTTGCCATCTAAAGCAGATGGCAGAAGAGGATGTTTGCCTGTTGTAGACCCTGATACATTCTGGCTTATTAGTTTGACCTCTGAAGTTTGGTTTATGCTAAGATGCAAGGCTGAATTGGATCAGCCAAAGCATAGACAGTTGTTCTATTTTGCTGCTTCATTGAAGACATGTTAAAGCCTCTGACAGAGGAATCCTATAGATACTTGTGGAAAGAAGAAGCTGCAGATAAACTTGCCAGAGGATGTTGGTTCGAGTGCAATGGCATGTGAATCCTTTTGAAAACTTAGTGCTAAATACAGGTGTGAGTACCTGACTTATTGCTTTAGGAATTCAATTTCATTCTAATTAGAATGTCTTTGGAGGTAAAGGTTCTGATAACTCGAGCTATATATGAATGAAGATTTCATCAAATGTTCATAGTTTAGTGTGATGTTTCTAATATGCCAGCTTCAGCTGCCAGAAGTGTAAACATGCCTGTGGTTTTTTCTTTGTATTTAGCTAGCCCTGTTGAACTCAGCAGTGCTAAGGAAGTTTATTTTATGCTGATGTGAAAGTGTTCTCATGATTTCCATTCTCAGGATTTTTTTCCTATTGTGAATACTCTGGCATAATGGGATTGTTAAATTAAACACTTTGAAGTTGTTTTTTATCCAGGTGTGGATGAAAAAATGAGGTTTAAGTTGTTCTTTTCTGAGAACCTGATTTAACAGGAATGCATATGGACCTTTAAGCACAGGTTACCACAGTGTAAGCGATTAATACAGAAGTGCAACACATTTGGTAGATATGTGTTGGAGTGTGCTGCTGGCTTTTTGTCAAATACAGATTTCAAGTACAGCTCATCTGCACTTACTGCTATGCATCTGTGTGATGGTTGGCTTCAAGTGTTAAACATATCGTTTCAGTGCGAGGATGTCGTCCTGGGAAGATCGTTCAGATGACCGAGGCAGAAGTTCGAGGCTTGTGCATAAAGTCACGGGAAATATTTCTTAGCCAGCCTATTCTCCTGGAACTAGAGGCACCTCTGAAAATTTGTGGTATGTAAACTTTGTGTGTATGTTTTATGTATGTGTTTTAATCTAGTTGTAGGCTAGGTGGGTTGGAAGGATACTGATATAGGCAAGTGACCTTGATTTGGGTGATACAGACTAGAGTGAGCTCTTCATCACTTCAAGTGTAATTTTCAGTGTTGATTGGATTAAGTTGCAAAAAGGGAGGTAGCATTTGGTACATTGATGATGCTACCCGTATGACTCGGGAGCAAGTTCTCTTGGCAATAAGAGCTGCTTGTGCTATTGTCTAGTGCAAATTTTGTAACCTGTCCCTTGTACTTCACTAGGGGCTGCTTGCACAGAGAGCTGCTACTCTTGCAGTCACTGTTTCAGAACGCAGTTAGCTGCTTTAAAAGCAAATATTTAATGTTGTAGTTGCTCTCTTAAAAGCATCAGTAAAACAAAGAACTTTACGTGTTGTGAAATGGAGCTCTTCAAAAGTAGTGATGAAGAAAGCATTATTAGTGTTTAAACTGAAAAAATAAACCTGGATGTAGAGTGTTAAACTAGGCTTAGTTACCATGTAATAAATTCTTTGAGCTTTATATTGTAGTCAAATATGGGTAAAACTAAAACGTGTGTTCTTGTATAGCATCTTGTAAGGTTTAGAGTTCTTTCTAAGTACACTGTTCTTAATAGGTATGCAAGCTTGTTAAACTGTTACAGAAGTATTGTAAATACTGGCTTGTAATCATCCTTTAAGTTATTAACAGTGGATGCAGTCTTACCAAGCATAAAATTGCTTGAATTAAGCTTCTTAAAATGTCATAGTGTTAAAATTGAAGCAGTCATTGAATTTGTTACCATCGTGCTCAAAGATAGGTTAGCTTCTTCCTGGCAGACCTGATGTAGCAATGTTTCTTACATTAAGAGAGGATATTACCAATTTGGAAAAAAAGGCACCAATGACAAAGTCATTTTTAAATTACTAATTGCTTGGTAGGGGTGAGGAGGAAAAACCAGACCAGCTTGCCTACTGACATAGAGTTGAAAGTAAAATCCAGCTTTACCACGTTGTTTGTGCTGTACTGAGACGACTACAGTAGTCTCATCTTATTCCTAGGTTTAAAAAAAAATGAAAACTCAAATATTTAGATTTTACATGAGTCAAGGTCTGCAAAGTATAATTATCCTCCTTCAAAGCTAGTTTCTTGTTTGCTTAAATCGAAACAGTTGAAAGGACTGTTAGATGCACAGCAAGAGAGTAGGAAATGCACAGTTAAATAAGGCATTTGTTATTTTTAAATTGGATTCCAAACACAGTGGTAGCACCAGGAAGTGTCAGGTGCATCTGAATTTAATACTAGAGCAGTTGTCAAAGATGCATTTAGATAAAAGTGAAAGAAAGATGATTGCTTTCACCAAAAGCAAAATATGCAGCTGTACTGCTTTGAACTACTGTTTTAGTGGGTTCAGGCAATGCCTGAGGAACCATTATAAGATTGTCTTGTCTTGTAGTAAGTCAATTCAAAATAAGCTTTAACATCTTGAATGGCTGACTTTTTAATGTGAGATGAAAGATACTCTTATGTAAACGTCTTTTTTAAAATAGGTGCAGTTTTTAACTGTAAGGCTTTGTATTTGGTAGACTTCAACTTGTGCCCATATGAAGCTATATTTTAAAATGCCAGATGCCTTGAATGGAATAGTAAATGCTTTTGCCCCTTTACAAAATTGTTTCTATAAAATCTCCCTTTACCCTGTAATTGCTTTGGTCCCTCTGGTTCATGTGTGTAGCTGAAAGTAGTTCTAGACAATGGTGACAATTATAACGTATTTTCCGTAGTATGTTTACTTGATAGTTAATTCTGGTGGTGGTAAAATCAGGGATGTGTATTGATAGTGTAGGTCTGGAGTACTAGACTGTGCATAGTAATTACTTGTTGAGTAGTCTTCTATATTTTCTTCTGGTTATGACCTGGAGATTTCTAAATATCAAGTAGAATAGGAATCGTTGTAACATGTGAAAACTTTTAGCCATTGAAACTTCAGATTGTGTCTGGAATTGGGTAGTGGATAATGTTCCCTGTTAGGAGAGGAATCGCTTCCCAATTTTCTTTTGAGTGTGAAATAGTTATGGAATAATGCTGCCTGAAGAAGGAAGTATTGCATTTCTCATGGAAAAAGTAAAGAGGAATATAGCTAAGTACTCTTCTTAACACTCTAGGAGAATTTAAGAAATGAACTGGTGAGCATACACAGGTTTGGGAACCTTTGTTTTCTTTAAGATTATGGAAAAAGTTGTAGAGAAATGTGTGTTGGAAAAGGCCACGGAAACTAGTGCATTACTGGAGAATAGGTGTCCTTCATGAAGTTGAGATTTTGCCACTGAACAAGCAGCAAATGTGAAAATGCATTTGTGGAGTGCTTAGTATAAGGGACCAGGCGGTACTACATTTAATCAGCAGCTTCAGCTGGTACTGAAGGCATCTTGCATAGTGTTTTTGCATGTGGTCACATTGGTAATGAATTCTGCCTGTGCTGGAATACATTGCATGTGCTCTACAAGTTACGGTAGAGCAGCTTTGGTATCTTCTTTGACTTTGTGGGCGGCTCACAGATAGTTAGCTTTGGCTAGTCTGATGCAATACGCTGTGGTGTTGTAATTGCCACAAAGCTGTCTCGTGAAAAGCAAGCTTAATTTTAAACGTGGCAGTGTGATGAGTAACATGACAGTTATTTTTCCTAAAATATACCTGCAGGGTTGAATATCTTGTAAGAGATATCAGTCTTCGAGTGTCTGTTTTTTATATGAATAATTGCATCAAAGGAGGAGTTACCCAAAATGCTATGGGATGGGAATCTTAGTACAGCACTGTTATGGGAAGACAAGCAGTTGACCTTTAAAGTAAGAGCTGTCTGCCAGCACAACATTCAGTTTCTTTCCAGTATTATCTAAATTCTTTAGTGAACCTAGAATCTGTTTTTGCAGTAAATAGTGTCACAACACTTTCTTAACGTGTTTGCTTCCTGGCCATCTAACTGTTCAGTCAGAGGTTGTCTTTCTGACCTTGTTTTAATTTGAACTAATTAAAACCTGGTTAGAAAGCTTAAGCTTAACTGTGAAGACTTCTCATTTTGATTTTCAGATTGGTTTCAGAACTGATGTAGCAGTTCTGCAAATACTGTGAGTTAGTGAGTACTTCAGTCAGAAAGTGAGAACCACATTCACATTACTGAAACTATTGCCAGTCTGTTTTTGAAGGAATTAATACTTTTTTTTAAGATGAATTAAAAAAGTGATTAGATTAGTTAAGTTCTTGATTTGTGTACTCTGCACTAATCTGCGGTAAACATTTTCTTATTCAGGTGATATTCATGGTCAGTATACAGACTTACTTCGATTATTTGAATATGGAGGATTCCCACCAGAAGCTAATTATCTTTTCCTTGGAGATTATGTAGACAGAGGCAAACAGTCTCTGGAAACAATTTGCCTGTTACTGGCATATAAAATCAAGTACCCGGAAAACTTCTTTCTCTTACGAGGAAATCATGAGTGTGCAAGCATCAATCGGATCTATGGATTCTATGATGAATGTAAGCAAAACCTATTTCTTCTGAAAGACTTACAGTTTGAGGGGAGGGGAATGACATGACACACATTTCCAGTAGTGACTCTTGTGCTGTAAGGATTTCAATATTCTGTGAACCTGCTTTGAAACTTTCTAAAAGTACATTTCAAACCAAAGTTAAAGTCACTCTAGGGAATTATTATTTGTTCTTCTGCTGTCCTTGAAATGCTGTTGCAGGAAACTGAAAGCTATGTCCATTAACAGAAGTAAAGCCTGGTGAAGACAGTTTGCTAACATTTTTGGTCAGGTTGTGATATGTATTGCAGGTTGGCTGTAAGAAAATGGCTTTCTTTTCCTAATGTCTCGAACTGGTTTTGTAGGCAAACGGAGATTTAACATTAAGCTGTGGAAGACCTTCACGGACTGTTTTAACTGTCTGCCCATTGCAGCCATTGTGGATGAGAAGATCTTCTGTTGTCATGGAGGTAAGCTGATGACAGCTTTTAAAGACTCTGTCTAAATTGATCTTTGGGTTAATGCTACACCAAATGGAGCGTGGATGTGCATGTTTGATATTTAGCTGGAGATGTTTAACCTTACATTGTCTGTAAAGGTCAGTGTATGCTTTGTGCTTTTCTGGCAGCAGACAGGTGGTGTTCTTACCTGGTTGATACACATGGCCCTCTGTTCCTGAGGGGCAAGTGCATCTAAGTATTCCCATCAGTCTGTCCCTCTCTGAAGGTTATCAGGTGCTAGAATTTTTGCCTAATTTGCCATGAGTTGTTGCAGTTAGCTAAGGCTGTGCTGCTTGATGGTAAGATTGGAATTCATAGCAGTGAAGTTAAAGAATAACTTTCACAAGTAACCCCAGCTCTGTATAGTCTTGACCTCTTTAGCTGGTTTCATAAGGTGTTGGTGGAAGGGACCTCTGAGGTCACATAGTCAAGCAGCATGCTTGAAATAAGATATCTGTTACCATTAGAGCACACCAGCCAGGCCTTGCTCTGACTCCAGAAAACCTTTGCTATTGGAAAAATCTGTGTTATAGAGTCACCTGTCCCAGTGGTGCCCTGCTCTTGTAGAAAAGAAACTGTTTTGTGTTGATCTGTCTGTAGGCTGTGACTTCTCTGAACTTGAACTTGGGTGCTTTTCTTTGTAGAAGGGGCCTTGCCAAGTTTTTCCAGTCATTGATGCTTACAGGTTTTCAGGACCTTGCAGAGTCACAAGAACTCAAACAACTGACAGTAATTTCAAATTACTTGTAGTAGGAGCCATCCTGCCTTTTTGCAGCTGTCTTTGCAACTACTAAGCAACTTGATGCTTTGCACTGAGTGATGCAGAGATGGGCTGGTAGGTATCCCACCTGCATTGTCAGGGAGATAATTAGAGATGAGTGGAACTGAAAACACTGCAGAAACCTGTAGTTTGACTGAACAGCTCTGCTTGGAATTCCAAATAGTGTGTACCAGAATTCCTGAGCAGACTCTTCCAGACTTTGAGGTTATTTTGATGGCTGCTATCCTGCCTTTATAAATCACAGGCATCTCTGCAAGAGCTCTGTCTGTATGGAATGTGCTGTAAATATAATCCTGGCTCTTCTTGCATCTTGTTTTGAAAGCTGCTGCCTTCAGTGCCTGCTAGTATAAGCTATCAATGTCCTATGCATAATATGCTCTGAGGTATTGTCATGTCTCTCTGCAAATGCAGAATTAATGCAATGATAAGACAATTGAGTTTGCCTGTCTTCAGGTAGTGTTGACATGTTAAAGTATGCTTTCTCACAGGTCATCTATTCATCTTGTTCTCAGTGTGGTGTCTTTTGTTTTCTTCTTTTTGAAGAGCTGGTACCTGTCTTATGAGCTAGATCTCAAAGAATGAGACGTAAACCCACTTCTGCACTGAGGTAGCCAATAATCAGTTGGCTGAAACCATGTAATTTTTTTCCAAAAAAGCTGGTGAAGGAATTCTTTTGCATTGTTACAACTTTTAAAATCTTGTTTTATTTGGGAAACAGTAGAGAATGAATGGTAACAAAATACTGTGGTGTTTCAGCCAAACAACTAAACTTAGGTGGGTGGTAGAAGATAATCAAATCTTAGTAGGTAGAGCAAAATGCTGTTTGTGACAAAACCGATAGTTTTGTGTAAATATGCACTTGAGACCTGAGTTATGAGCAAAAAGCCTACAAAGCTATTTTTCAAGGGGGAAAAAAAAATCAAATATTTATTTGAAATACTTTGGATGATTAACCTGTTGTTAATCAGGTTTTATTTTGTGTATAGTATACTTTAAGGACCCTCCAATAAAAAGCAATATTTACTTTATTGAATGCTAATTGTACAGGCTTCATTTGTATCTGAAATTACTGCCACTCACAACTGATCTGTGGCTGTGAAATAAAGTGAAAAGATTACTAAATGTGCTGTGTGCTCCTAATAAGTGAAAGTGGATGTTCAGCACATACATGTTTTGCCCTTTTTCTGCTCTTCTCCAATCCTATCCAAACTGCGTTCCAGATGCCATGAAGTCATGGACTGTCTACGCCTTTTCATGATGTTACTGTTACAATAAACACTGAGGCAGCCAACACAAACATTCAACTCTCCTGGAAGTTGAAGCTAGCATGTAAATATAAGGTAGGTGCCTTTTTTACTATATTGCGCATTTTTGCATAGTTTATTTTAAAAATATTGTCCTCTGGGATATATAATAAAACTTTGCAAAACCGCATAACATAGTAAAACAAAAGGCACCTAACTTACCCCAGTAGGCTGTCTGCAATAGCTTAAAATCCTGAGTCAGTTTTTTTACGTAGACGTTTCTGGGGATCTGCTGTGTTGAGTTCTGCATCTCGCAGTATAAATCAAACTTCTCTTGCCACCACTGTCTCCAAATGTTTATGCTGCTGAAAGGTTCTTTCACTGTATCCTTTCCATCACCATCCTCGCTCTTCCTTGTCATTCCACATTGCTCATACAAATTATAGTTTGGCCTTCTCTCAAGGCTGTCCTCTTGACTTCTGACTTTGTTCTTTATCTCGCTTCTTTAAAGCTTATCCCATAACCAGTCCCAACTTCTCCCTTTTGCTTTGTATTCTGTACAGTATTGTCCTCTTATCTGCCACCACTCTCTAGTTCTAATCTTTAGAGATCTTATGTGATTGCTTTAAAGTTTCTGTAAATTAAGTCCATGTTACAGTGTCTTGTTGATGGAACACATTGGTCTTATCACATTGAATTTAAGCCCTGGGATGGGAGTTGTTTTAGTAGAACACTGAATTTATGTAATATTTTCAAGCTCTGGAATTTTTTCTTGTGACATTAATGACAATTAAATGTATGTTGAAGGTGATGTCTAATTGATAATCTTATATAGTATCCACATATAAGTAACCATCACTCTTTACTAAATCCACCTGATTAGGGAGTGGTTCAACACTGGAGCCTGGGTTTGAGTCTGCTAGGACTAATGACAATTCATTTTCAATTTTCCCTTAGGAGAAGGGGTGCCCTTATGCCTCAAGAAGACCGTATACTGAGAGAGAACTTTTTCGGTGCTTAGCAGTCGTTATGTGACAAGATGGTTCAGTTTTGTGCTTCCTGTCTTTCAGCACACAGGCTGCAGCAGCCACTTCTAGTGGCAGCAGCTTGACAGTGAGGATTAGTAGCCTGTGTTTGCATCCTGATTTCCTTTGTTTAATGCTGATGATGTGCACCTTCTGTCTGTAGATCTCAATTTGAGACATGAGCTATTTATTTTTGTGCAAGGGGAATATTAGGTTTTTGAGAAAAGACCTCTTGGGTGGTTACAGAGTGGTCTGCGGACATGCAGAAGCAGTTTTATGGAGTTTTGCTATTTTAGTGGTGTAAAATAGCACAAAACAGCTGCAGGGTTGAGACGTGGTTTGTAATAACGTGTTTTCTTCTTTTTAAAGAACGTGCATGGTTTGGGTGCAACCTTAAATGGTGAGAGCTGTAACCTTACAGAAGGTCACAGGCTGGTTGTGCTTATTTCACCAGATTGTCCATTGTTATCTGGGGGTGTGGTGCTGAGTAGAATCCACATGCCTTTGTGCTAATGTAATCTACATGCAAATCAGTTCTGGGGAACAGGAAGAGATAGGTTGGTCAAAGTTTAAAAGCTGGTTATCTACTTGAATTTATATTAGTATCCCTGGATTGTTCTGTAAGTAGAATTAAGCTAAACTCCTTTGATATGCTATTTAATGTAGGATTTCTGCCATTCTTCACAACCTCAAGTTAATATGAAGACAGCTTTAACAAGCTGAGGATGGAAGGTTTTTATCGTAAGACCGCTTCCACAAAAAAAATCTAAAATCTTAATACTTGAAGAAAAGTTCCTCCAGTCTTTGTATCAAATACATCGGAGTCGCTGTTCATGTAACACATACATTGCCACTGTGCAAACTGAGGCAAGCTGTAATTGTTTTACACGGTGACTCCTTTCCAATGACAGGGTTTTTTGTCATGTTCTAAGTTCAGGACTGATATAGATACGGCTTGTTAACATGAAATACATTTCATCACAAATTAGGTCTTCGTGCTCTATTTCCAAATTTGCAACTTTCTTAATTAGGTAATCTTGGCCTAAGTCATTTAAGTCACTTTAGGACCTTTATTTAAGGACATGTTAAGGTACTAGAGCATCTAGTAGGTTCTCTTGCACTCCCGTATGCCTCAGGAAGAAAAGCTGTAGAGTGCATACTTAACTGTTCAAAGGGTGGCTTTGGAATCCTGTGCTTTGGCTGTAACTACATGTTAATATGGCAGAACTGTACAAAAAGAGCTGTCTTTGTGATAAATGATTTTTTTTGAGTAGTCAAGTTTTACTATGGCTTTATAAATGACTAAGCATCTGAGCTGTTGTAGATGACCACCTCTCCGCTCCTACTGATTGCAGTTGTGCACTAGTACGTATTTACAGCATGCACTGACTGCTGCTCAGCTGATGTGTGGTGAAACACTGAAATACACTGGTGTGGCTCGTGATTCCAGTCACACCTGAAGGCTGCTTTGGCTTGTGGTCTTTTAAAGGTGGGTGGGGGATGTTTCTTTAGTTTTTATAAAGTAAGGTGGTTGTAAAGAAGGTCATCTGCATCCAGTTCAATTGTGTTAGATAATGGGAATGCTATCCTTCATTGATTCTCTCAAGTAAGCTGTTTAAGAGAACGTGCTTAACTGTAGAGTTCTGTGCTGTGTGGCTGAAAGGATGGTAGGAAAAGAATTAAAATCCCTTGCTAATTTCACTTGTGTTATTCTCTGTCCCTCTGTTCAGGAACTTGATTGTCTTATAGCAAACTGTCTTTTGTTTATATTGCAGTGGAAACAATGGATGCTGTATGACTTTGGACTTCTAATTGTGTGTTCTCTGGAACCCTTTTTGCAGGTAAAATGTGTAGATAAGTCACTTGTTTTCTTGTGCTTACAGGACTCTCCCCAGATCTCCAGTCAATGGAGCAGATCCGGAGAATTATGAGACCTACAGATGTTCCTGACACAGGTGAGTGACATCTAATTTACTGTAAATAGGTTTTAATGATGAAACATGTTTAATCAATTTCTGCAAATGCAGTGACTTGACACAACCTCTGTTCACACTACAGTATTCCTTGATGCCTGTGCAGGGCATAAATCTTCATCCTCATGATGGCTATATGGTCTGACAAGTTGGTCTGACGTGAGACTATTGCCCATGTTGCTACTGCTTGTGGTAACAGAGTGGGATACAGTATCCAAGCTTGGATACATTATCCACAAGTTTGCCTTAAAAGAGACTTAGAATCTAATGAAAGATCATATGAAACTTGAACAGCTAATTCTTTTTCTTGCCCTGGTTAGGCACACCCGAATGCTTTAGTCCATCAAAGAACATAACTGTTCAAAGATTGCCAAATATTGTTTACAATATTAGGGTTTCTCTCTACCTGGGGCCATGTCTCCTTCATCTTTAAATTTGTAAAGTATAGCTTCTACTGCACTACAATTGGGATTTCAGTTGCTTATATTAGTGTGGTAGTCCTGAAGTTTTCTTCTACTAATATGTTAATACTTTGTATATAGAAGTCGGATGCAAATGGCCAGTGCTTTCTGTACAGAATTCTTTTGAATGGTTTAATTAATCATCTTCCTCAGTATCCCTTTTATTCCAAATTTGGTTACTAGTGGATTGAAAAGACTGTCAAACAGTACAATGGGATATTTTTCGGAGTGTTGATTTCAACAATTGTCTGAAATTAACTTTCAGAGGAGATACCACATCTAAACATTTTCTGAAATACCGGTTACAGTTAAACCTTGAATGGAAGAATTCTACTTCCTGTAATGTTCCTTAGTGCCAGTGCACAGGAGTAGTTCAGAGACTAATACTAATTTATCTACTGTCCCTTAAACAACATTATTTCTGTGCAAGCTGGTACATGTATGCTTGACACTGAGATGCATTACAAGACCAGTAAATGAGTGCTTCTGTACTATAAATCACTACATTGTTCTTCCTCTTATGCTACTTACAGTTTAATTAATGCACAACCAAATAAATGTCAGTAAAAACAAGTCAATCTTTAAATTTATCAGAGCTCTGAGAAAAGGTATTGCTGTTCAACAGGCTAATACTACGGCTATGCCCTTGCAGAATGTAGTTCTGGTTTCCATGGATATTCCACTGAAATCATATGTATTCTTAGTACCTCCTAAAAATAAGAATAGAGACTTTTTTTAAAAAGGCTTTTGATGTACAGGGTGTTTTGCGGTCTTAATTTAGCTTTCAAAAGCAACAGCTGGGTGTTTACCAGCAGAGGTAAAATGAAATGTCACATCAGAGGCATGCATGCCTGTGGCACAGTGACACAGAAGTTCTTGGCCTTTTGAACTTAAGGCAACTGATACTACAGAATGGAAGTAAATCTTGTGGAAAAATGAAAAATAAACTGAAGTGTCTCACTTCTGTGAAAGTAGCAAATCCTTAAAAGCTATGTCTGTGCAGGGATGTCACATGGTGAATGTTTGTGTTGATACAGAAATTCTAGGTAGATGTTCATGTGCCGAGAAATTAAATCATTATGATGGTTTCTTCTAGCCTAAAGGAAAAAAAAAGCCTTTTCAACCTCAACTGCAAATTTAAAGCCTTCTTTTGTCTGTTGGTATTTTTATGGGGTTTGAAAGCTGTTGGCTCAAATCTGGCTCTGCATTCCAACTTGAATCACTTGCCTTTAACTGTTAAAGTATTTGCATTGTGTGAGGCCAAGGTATACATGATGTGTTTTGGTCAGGATTGCCAACCATTTGTTTATTAGGAAACTGACTCCCTCTGTTGTGTAACCTTGAATGCCTGCCTCAGCTGTGTTACCGTATGCTCCTGGTCAACCTAAGCCATCCCAGTGGTAGATACTGCATGTGAAACCATACACCTGCTTGGGCAGCATAGTTGAGACAAACCTGTTGCAGGGTTCTGGTACACCACTGCTAAAGATTACAGGGCAGATGTGCCCATTGCTATCTATAACCCTAAAGATTGTTTCCTTTTGGGGAGAGGACTGAAAAGATGCTTCCTAAGCAGCTGAGACAAGCCAGCTGCTGTTACTTGTTGGGAATTCATGATAAGAAACCATTAGGGATTGCAGTGCAACTCTTCTGTTTTGAAATACACGTTACTCAATATAGAACTAAATTCAGTAAAGTAAGTTTTTTGTCATACGCTGTCTGTATTCAGTAGATACTTCATGTAAAATGCAGTTGTGCTTGCTCTGTTCTTTGTCTTCTAAAGCAAATCTTAGCCTCTACTAGAGAGGAACTGTGACTGTCAGCAAAGACCTTCTATTTGATAGCTGTATGTAAATACGAAATGGTCTAGTTGCACAGTAGGTTTCAGACATTAGTTTTGATTACAACTTGAAGGATCTGTTATCTAAGAAATCGTGTCTTCGATACTTTGTTTATAAAATAACCAAATGTAACTGAAAATCAAACTGAGTGCCAGATAAAGGTGCCTGCTAGCATCTCTTTCAGGTTGTAAAACAGAGCACTTAAGTATTTAAGTGCTTAAGGGTTAGTCATCTGAACAATTTCATGGAAAACTAGGAAATGGATTTTGAAGGCTTTGTTTTATTTGTGCTATAGTTTAATGGGCCTGGTTCTTTGTCATGTGAAAAAGCTTTGAAAGTTCAATGTATAAAGGTATTGCAGTTTATCTAGAACATTTTGGTTTTTAGTACCCAGTTGTAACTCCAAAGTTGGCTGACCTTTTGTTGGCAGCAGAAGAAAGATCTTGACCAGTGCTAAAACACAGAGGGTTATTGTTCTAATTTAGGTTCCAGACTGGTTGGCCCAAGGCTTTTTGGAAAGTCAACAGTAGTCCAAGCAAACTGAAAGTGCTACCTGAAACAATTTATCAGAATGTCACCATGTTAAATTTTGAATTAGTCATGTAAGGTTCTTCACGTGTGGTAAGCAAGGTAAGAATCAAAGCTGTTCCATGTTCAGCAGCTTGCGGTATAAGTTTGTTTGCTGTACTTGTGACTGGCCTTGCATAGGATTTACTGCAGCCTTCAAACTAAGCTTTCTTGGTGAACTGTGAAATTGATGGTTGCCTTTTAAAATGCACTCGCTGCAGTATTTTCAAATTCTTCAAACGCTCACTATAAATGTGCTGAATATTATGTTTAAGTATTATTTCAGAGAACTATTTGGCTCTGACTTGTTTTCATCTCAAGATGCTATCAGTGGTGAAGGGGGGAAAAAAAATCTCTAAACTTACGCAGGCCGTATCTTTTGCCTGAACTGCAGTTTTAAGTATTTCTGTATTTGTTGCAAAGGCTTACTTTCTTTAGGATAGCTGCTCGGGTAATTACAATAAAACTGTTTCACACTGTAAAATGATACCTCCTAAGATTAGCATCTTCACTTGTATTCTCTTCCAAAGGCTTGCTGTGTGACCTGCTGTGGTCTGACCCAGACAAAGATGTGCAAGGTTGGGGTGAAAACGATCGTGGGGTCTCTTTCACTTTTGGTGCTGATGTGGTCAGTAAATTTCTGAATCGTCATGATCTGGATTTGATCTGTCGAGCTCACCAGGTATGAATTATGCTGCTGTTGCTTCTTAAAACTTCTCCTTCTAGACTTTCTGCCGCTGGTGCTGCTTCTTAGTAGGATATATTTGAGACTTTGCATTGTGTAACTTGGGGAGGGGAATATGAGACAGTGTCCTTCTATTGACTCATACTGAACTGAGTGTTAAACATCAATCAAGTAAAGTACTAACAGTGATTTCCCCATTGATCTTTCTTTTGTATTGCCTGTTTACTGTTTAGGCTGTTGTATCTGAACATTAGAGGTAAAGTGTCCAGGGACTTGAATTTGGGATTTACACTGAAGTTTCAGAGTTCTTTCCATTTCTGTGGTAGTTGTGGCTTAACTGATCTCTGCTTCACTTTTCATAGAAGTATGAAATGCATTTTGAATGTTTCTGCAAAGAAGCTGTACAAAAGGTCTTGCCATTGCCTTCATTTTGGTTCAGCTATCTATGCTACTTTGGCACAGATTGTTTGACTTACTGAAATGTGCAGAAAGCAAGGTTATTTTTGGCATCATCAATCTTTAAGTACTCTTTTTTGCAGGTCTTGGGTTACTTTAAGCAAGTGTCCTAGTTAAGTGGACATCAGGTTTCTATTTCCTGCATAGATTTTCAGTTTCGTTATTTGGCCAATTTCAAAAGCTTGCTCCTGCTGTGAAACAAAAATAGGCTTTTTACTCTGAACTAGCTGATCTTTAAGGTCCCTTCCAACCCAAACCATTCTGTGATTTTAAGTATGACATCTTTTAGAAGACCACGATGATTGGACCAAAGTGAGTGGTTTTGCTCATTATAATTACCACTAGTTTTACTACAACATGAGGCTTCTGTTTTGGGAAGAGGGAATGTTCTTAGCTGATGCATCATACTACTTACTATTTCAAAGGTGGATTATGCTCTCAGAGGAGATACGGGAGAACCCCTTTGCTTTTATAGCATCAAAATGGCAAAAAAGCCTACACTGAGATTTTTGCAATCAACACCAGTGTCAGTGAAACTTCACAATTACAGTTGCAATGAAGATGGTATCCAGACCTTGTGTGCTTTGAACTAATAGGTCAAGCTTCCACATTCTGTATATAAACCATAAAATGTTGGGAGTCCTTAAACTGGCAGTGCATAATCGGATTTCAGGTATGAAAATATTGAATAGTCAAGCCGATGCATATTTAACATTGGAAGTGTCAGACAGGTTAAGGTACCCGATCTGAGATTCGGTGTCTAGATAAGGCAAAATAACTGAAGCTGTCCTATCTGAAAGGCAAGACACAAAATAGCTGTTTGGGTTCTTGTCATCTCTTCAGTAAAAGTGCTGTTTGCCTCCAGACTGGCTTTTTTTCTTCAAAATTTTATCTTTTTTTGTGAGCTGTATTGATTTCTCTGGTGTTGACAGGTGGTTGAAGATGGATATGAATTCTTTGCTAAACGGCAGTTGGTCACCCTATTCTCAGCTCCAAATTATTGTGGAGAGTTTGACAATGCAGGGGGCATGATGAGTGTGGATGAAACGCTGATGTGTTCCTTTCAGGTATGATATATTTGTACATTAACTATTACTTTAGGTTTTGGGCTATAGGGACTGAGTTAATCTGCTGGTTGATGTGTTTATGGTCAGCCTAGGGTAATAGTCATGAGCTACAGAAAGGGCTGCGCAGCGGGCTGGTGGCTGTGGACAATTAGAACTGCAAACCAACTATTCTCCAGCGAACTGTGTGGGATTTGCTGTTTTCCGAACTCCTGCATATTAAGTTACTTCCGCTATTCAAATGCTTATTTCAAAGTTTACTTGGGTGATTCTTCTTAGTCATACCTAGTGATCAGAGTACCTAGTTATACAGGCTCATGGACTGTTGGGACCCTTTTAGTGTGGTTACTCTGATTAGAATTTAATCCTTACTCCTTGGAGATGTTTTCAGTCCCTCTTCTTTTCCCTTCCCACCCCAATGCAGTGGTAGAACTGGAAGGATTTAGAAACACTATGACAGTTTTATGTAGGATTTAGAAATTTGTAGGATTGTGATGTGATTTTTCTC